GGACACTCCATTTATTTATTGTTTAATTATTTTTTATACTTTAGAATCAACCACCCTATTTAGAAAATATCTAAAGGGATGATGTAAAAAAATATTGCAAGCCCCAAAATGAAGTTATTGAAATGATAGGGCAAATCAAGAAGATGCTGCCAATAAAATGAGATAGCTTAAATTAGCTATAAAATATGCTAAAAAGATGGTTTGTGCTGGCTCAGAACAGATTTAAAAAAGAGAGAGAGAGAGAGAGAGAGCAAGCCCTAATGAACCTCTCTGGAGAGGCTATTGCCCAGTAAAATGGCCATTCCTGGAAAGAGCTTGCTCTCAAAGTATTTCATGTTCTTCCTTCCCAGAAGATCTGGAACAGAGCTTTGTTTACTTGTCACAGTATCAAGGGAAGCTCATATTACTTCAAGTACACTGGCCAAGCTTGTTGAGGACTTGATAGGCTATACTAGCACACTGAATCCAAATAAAACCTGGATAAGAATAGAGACTCATTGTGGATAAGCATGAATTGGCTTAACATATTCAATATCTGGCATCTGACTACTCTGCTGTATGAAGCCTCCGTTGGACTAAGCCAATTACGTATCACATTCATGACAGAGAAACTCAAGGGTATTAAAATAGACATGATGACTATAGGTAATGATTGTATGCTCCCTTTCTTATGCCTCCCCATCACTTCAAATGTACATTTAAAGCATGAGGTGCAGGAGACTCTCTACTTATTAGAAAGCAAGGCTATGAAATATGGTTCTTCTGATAGAAAGTGAACATTTACTTGAGAAAGTAAAGGGGAATGCTAGTGTAAAGCATCATATGTTAAGGAATTAGTCTAAGCAGAATTATTTATAGACTTTGGGTTGGGCATGAAACATGAGTCAGTTATTTGATTTGATTAGTCACATAATTAATGCACTTAAAAGCAATTGAATAAAACATGGATGTTGTTAAAGATTTCAAATCAGTTCCCAAATAGTAAATGACTTGCCTGTGATGTTTATTTAAGAGAAACAGTTGTTATAGCCATTAATGTCCTGAGAATATCACTGCCATTTGTATGTTCCAACAGGTACCTTAATAAGTGTATTGAATAATTACATTGTAGCAAGATGATGAATTGAAATAAAACATTTGAATCAGTCTAAAGCCCTTATTCATTCAAAGGTTAATGACACTGTACACTAGAAATACAGCAGCTTTTAAAACTAGCAAAGAAAATATTTCACATTGCTTCTGTGGGTTTCTAGTGGAGAATCCTAGAAAGTTTTAAATTGTACCATTCATTTGACTATTCTTCCAATTTGATATCATACATTTGCCAAAAAAAAATTGGAATTGCCTCACCAATTTAGAGGTGGCCAGAATTAATGTTTTCTCAGGTTTCTGACAGTATATATTGAAAAGCTGCATTAGAAATGTGAATGTATTGCAAGGTGCTAAGGATTTATTTGATCAAGAGTGTGAAGTGTGAATTAGTGCAAAGGAGATTGAATGGAGATCAAGAAATCATAAAACACACAAAAATACAGAAAACTGCAATACTTTGGTCACATAAAGAGAAAGAAAAAGTGCAGAAACAAAAAGTACAATTATCTCTTCAGCTGCAGTGCCCGACCTATAGTGGGAGAGAACAAGGAAATGTGAGTAGTAACTGAGACAGACATTGGGCTCATAGTTAATTAATTCCTTTTCTACTGATTTCTCCATCTTTGAAACAGAATAGTAATAAACTGTAGGAATGAAGTGTGCCAAGCACCACACAGCTGTGTTCTTCTCTGCTTCTCTTGTGTGGGTTGTCATTTCATTTTTAGAGAATCTATTTATCTCTTCACTGCAGCTGTAGAGAAAATTGTAGTAACAGAATATTAAAGGTATTATAACTGTACCTCAAAATAAAAACAAATTGAATGGCATGGGATACCAACATATCATTACTAATCTGACTGGTCTGCATTAAACTGCCAAACCATGGTGTAGACATCAGGAATTTGTGACAGGTTCACTCATTCCATCTTTACCTTTGTTGTGCTCCCTTCCGTGTTTGAATGTGGGTGGTGATGATCAAAGTCTTCCTGATTTGGACAGCTTGGTGAGGAATCAAAATGAATGAAAGCAAAGTGGGGAGAAAGCAGCATGCGAGCCTGAAACAAAGCCCTGAGAGACAATGACTGTTACATGGAAAAAGGTAGATCACAGTGTTGTGCATAGGAAGTGTTCTGTCAGAACGGCTGCAGGAGGCACAATCACTATTCATAGTGCTGTAAGAATGTATCCATGTTGTTGTTGTTTTCAGCAAAGCAGAACAAGGTGTGCTGCTTAAAGCACTTTCTGGGTGGTTTTACAATTAAATGCATTGCCCTTCTCCAGCAAGCTGGGTACTCAATTTGCTGATTTTGGAAGGATGGAAGCCCGAGTCAACCTTGAACCAGCTACCTGAGCCTGTTGGGAATCAAATTCAGGTTGTGAGCAGAGTTTTGATTGCAGTACTGCTCTTTAATCCCTTTCCATGAGGCTTCCAGCTAGGATTATGTATATGTAACAGCAGCCTATCTTCCTGTAGGTATAGATCAAGGGACTGCAGAGAGATTTGCCAGTCATTAGAATAAGTTCTGTGATCACCCACTGTTTCTTAGGAGTCTATTTCTCAAGTATGGAAAATAGGTTGAGAATGATAAGAGTGTGTATGTTCTGGAAAAGTGTGGTAGAAGAATCAGAGCTATGATATTGCATTAGCATCTTTAGCAAAGGAAATACAGCTTTGGTTCATTGTAGGCTAGTGGTATTGAATCATTATTCTGGACATGTTCTCATATAAGCTAGATAAATAACTTTTCTTTTGGAAACAGAGTTATTTTCACAGCAAACAAACAAACAAACAAAACAAAACAGCATTCTAGGTGGAGCAATGAGAACAGGTGAGTTGTTCAGATGTTCCAGGGTTTTTAGTCCCAGCGAATGCATACATTTTGTTAGACCACTATCTACATTAATCATTTTGTGTTCACTTCAGTCTGGAATGAAATTATTATCAGCATTTGTTCTTTAGCATAAAATACTACTGATAAGTTAGGGCCTTCCAGAGATTTGACTGAACAAAGTTAAGAAATTGAAGGCATTATCTTTTTTTTTTCTTTAACAATTTATATGTACTGATGTTTGTGCAAAAATGATTCCTATGATCTCTCCATTAAACAGTAAAGCAAGCAGATGCACTTCAAATGCTCCACATTCTTATCTATTTTATATCCAAGTTTTAATTCAAAAATTTAATTCATAATGATACTTGAAATCTTTTCCTCTTACCTGTGAAAAAGAAAAAAAAAGGATCACAATTAGAAATATGTGTCCTCATTCCTAAAACAGGGTTTTATTACACAAGTCCAGTAACAATCTACAGCAGAGGTTTCCAGCCTTGGGTAACCCATGTGTTCTTGGATTGCAATTCCCAGAAGCCTTCACCACCAGCTGTACTGGCCAGGGTTTCTGGGAGTTGCAGTCCAAGAACACTTGGGTTACCCAAGGCTGGGAAGTGCTGTTCTACAGGAACTTGGAAACAGAACCATTCAGAATGTCTAGAACTGAGTGATATCACCAAGGAAGCTTTTATAGGAGTGGAAGGCTAAATTTCAATACTACAATAGCTGTGTTGTTATAAACACACTGCTAGCTGTTAGGGCAAGAATTGCATGGGGGTGTCTTGCACTTCTACAAGCGTTTCAAGGTTAGAAGCTTATTCCTACATATGCGAGTGTTTTAGAGCTTCAAAGATGCCTTGGATTGATGGAGTTTTTCAGTTCCACCATTTAGAGCTTAACCATAAATATGTCACATTATGCTTGTAGCTACAAAGATTGTCCTAGAAAAAAAACTGCTTAAGGAGATGTGTAAGATTCCGCTGAAATGTATTTAACTAAGCATTTTATGCCATTTCGTGTTAAGTATATTATATTGTGCTGCTCTAAATTCTAAGAGCAGATAAGCCACCTTATTCATTTAGTAGTTGAAGCAATAACCTGCCTGGAAATTAATGGGAAAAGATGCTTTATGTTTTATAAAATGAATGATAAAATACTTTTCATTAACGATGTAAGATATGCAAATAGACTAAGCACCCCCCTCTCATCCCATCTAGTTATCTGTTGGATTAGGACTCAGGAAACCTGGGTTCAAACTCCTGCTTGGTTATAGAAGCTGGTGGCAGAAGTGAACCATTCCTTGAACTTTGCAGATACTTCAAAAACTCTATTAAGCCTGCCTTAAGAGAGAAGCAACTTGACAGCATATATCATACAGACATATTTATTTATTTAATTTTTTAAAAAACACTTTTCCCCTTAAGAAGGGGCCAAGACAACTTATATCAGTAAAATACAATGTTGAAAACTGAAAACTGTATGTATACAAATACTAAAAAGGATCAAGCAGATACCACACTAAAAGACCATAAACAAAAGCAACACCAAACACACATTCAAAGCATTAAGACACAGTCATTAAGGGAAAGCTTGCCTGAAGAGAAAGGTCTTCACCTGCTTGTGGAAGGGCAGTAAGGAAAGGGCTAGCCTTGCTTCCTGTCGGAGGGAGTTCCAAAGTTTGGGAGGAGCAACAGAGAAGCCCCTCTCCTGTGTCCCCATCAAACACACCTTACAGTAATTTAACTTAGTCTGGTAAACATACTTCCTCATTTTATCTTGATTAATACACTTTACTTAAATTGCTTTTAATAAGAACTGTGCTGTTGAATTTCAGGTGATGGACTGCATCCAGACTTAAAGATTATTTTAGTAAGAAGCCATGAAAGTGTCTTTCTGCACTTCATCTTGAAGAGGGCTGGAAGGATTAAAACATCTCCGTTAGAGTGCTAATGACTATCTTTTCAAGCTGTGTTGTATAATACATGATATAGAATGCCAGTGAGTAGACCCATATAGGGTTGTACTTAATTGTTACATTTCTTTTTGACAGTACTGCAGCTTTTGTTTCTCTTTCTTTAGGTCAAGAATGGGTACTAGTAAAGAGCCAGACATTGTCCACTTGGAGACGAAGACAGTGGACGGGCGTAAGTTCTTTTGCTACTTTATCATAATTGTATCACATGAGTAAATACTAAGTTATGCAAAATTCATTCAGATATAGGGTGCTGTTGAAGAGCTATACTAGCAACTGAATAGTTCTCTCTGGGTTTCTTCTAAAATCAGTACCAAGGAGGTAGCTTTCCCAAATGATACTGTGGAACTAAAGGGATTCCTTCCCCCCACATAAACAGAAGATTTGTAAGCCATGTAACTTCTGCTAAAGAAAAGCATAAAACAAGTACAACTAACAAACATAAAATGCCTCCTTCTTGAAGGAAATTTGCTCATTTCATCAAATCTTTCTGTAGTTGTTGTGGAAGGGTGTTAAATCTGAAGCCTTTTGCTTTTATTTCACACAAGCTCACAAATTTGAGTGAGCTGTGTGAAGTGGAAGAATGTGATGTTTTGAACTGATAACATTTCCCCTTCGCTGAGACATTACTTCCTAAAATATAAGGATTACAAGAAGATATTCTGCTGCTAAAATGATTTATCATGCCTTCTCAAGCCAAGGCACAGCCCTACACACATTACTATGGAGTACGTACCACTGTACTCAACAAAAAACTATTTCAGAGTAAACATGCAGAGGCTCAGCCTTTACTCATATTTGCAGGAGGTCTTAGTGTCTAATTTCTGTACAAATGCATTCCCTCTGCCCCATCATTGTATATCCAAAAGATAGTACTAAACAGAGAAATCTAAGCTTTACAGATGCATAGATGAAGCTACGCTAGCTGGTGACAAAAATGACTGGTATTCTGTTTGGAGGATTCCCCCCCCCCTTGGTAAATTCTGTTTCGAAAAAAAGATGAGAAAAGGATGAAATCATTCTGGTAGGTGATTGCTAGCAATAACAGAAGGGCACCATTAGGTATACACTGTTTAAGTTTAACTAATTTAATTTTTAAACAAACTGGAATAACTATGTAACTCAGTTCTGTGCCATTATCTTTTTAAATAACGTGTAGTTAGAATTGTTGTGATGTATAATGCAAACACTATTTTTTTTTGCAATATTCCCTAGGGAATTTTGCTCAACCATACATTAGGAAGCTAAAAAATTAGAATGTATATTTATATTTAATAATCTATATTGTTGTCCCAAACCTACTTTAAATAAATGAAACTACGAGTGAGTGAGTGGTGTCAGTTCCTGCTTTTTCAATTGAACAGCACTCATATGAAGTTTATCTCCCATTTCCATTTGCCTGGTTTTCCATCCCTTGTGTATCACTGTGAGTTTGCAGCAAGCTTAAAACCAAATGAGAAAATAGTTTCAGGGGAAAAATGGCAGGGTTTTATCTCTTTCAGGTGAAACAGATCCAGATTTTTTTGAGGTTTACCAGATAGAGTCTTAGTGCTCCAGCTGTGAGATGAAGATATATATATGGAACTGCTATTGCTTTGGTCACCATGGTCAATGACCTATGTTAGGGTCTGGATAAGGGGAATGCTATCTTGTTAGTTGTTCTAGACCTTTTTATGGCCTTCAGGGCTATGGTATACTGCTGGATTGCTTGTCTGTTATAACTATAGGGGACAGAAACCACATTGCAGGATTCTAATCCTCCCTGTCAGGGTATGGTGGGAGAACATTATTTGATTTACATGAGGCTGCTGGGAAAGGTCATTCAAAGTTTTGGAGTAAGGTACCAGCAATATTCTGATGACCCCCTAACCTTGTCCTCGAATGACACCTGAACTTGACAATGGGCTGGGTGTAGTTGAACAAGCTGAAATTACATCATGACAAGTTGCATTTGCTGGCAGTAGAAAATGAGGCTCAGAGGTTGGGATTCAATCTTTTTTGGAAGGAACTGTGCCTCTCTAAGAGGTCAAATTCGTAGTCTAGAAATGTACCTTAATTCTGAGCTGTCTTCGGATTTTAAAGTGGTAGCAAGGAGTGTGTTTTACAACTCCACTTAGTGCAACAGCAATTATCTTTTCTGGATCATTCCAGCTTAGCAATAATCATCCATGCTTTCATTATATAGTGCCTTGATTACTGCAGTGCATTTTGTGTGCCCTTGAAGAGGGTCTAGGATCTCCAGCTGGTGCAGTATATGGCAACTAGACTGTGAACTGGTATAATGGTCATGTGACTGCCATCCCGAATATCACGGGTTGCTAATGTCTTCCCAGACACAATATCAGTTTTGGTCTTTAAAGCCACAGTTTAGAGCCTTCTAATAGATTGCCTGTCTGGGTTTTAAACTGTTCAGGGAAGACCCTGTTGAGAGCACTTGCAGAGTTTTACTTGATGTGCATGCTGGACAGGACTTTCCCACATACACTCCTGCCCCCCTGTAACAATATCTTATAACTGTCTATTTTCTATTACTTTTATCTCTTATCTATTCTCTAACACACACCAGCTTTCCACTCTCTGTCTTGACCCTTCAAAACCTCCTCTCTAAGTCCCCTCAGTCTCCAACTGTTCTCTTGACTCCGCCCCTCCTGTCCTGCCATAGGCTCCTGCCCTAGAGTTCCAGATGATGGACAGGCGTTACTTGGGCATTCTGCCACACACACACCCGTCAAATAGATACCCCCTAAAATTACAATCTGTTACCAGCCTCGCTGCTTTTAGTGATGATGTGAAGGCTCATATTTTTTTATTAAAACTAACAACAGACTGTCATGGACCCAGCAATATTGGCTTTCATTGAAGGGTATCAGGCTGCTGGGACCAGTACTTAAAACTCAGCCCCAGCTCTGACCTGTGGACAGTGAGAAGCTAGTGACTGTGACTCAGATACAGATACCAACACTACGCAGTGGGAGGAACTAAGTCTGCATAGGAAGGCTATGGTGGGATCAAGGCCCATGATCTGAAACTGTGCCCCACTTCCATGCCTGAATAAAACTGAGTTAGAACCCATCTGTGCATCAGGAATCCATGGAGCCTATGGTTGAGGAGACCCCTTGACCTCCTCATTGTTTGGTGGGGATGGTGAGGGTCACACTGTTCTTCGAAATGCATCTGAACATGGCAGTAGTGACCTATTTACAGAACCTTACACAAAATTAAGTCATTACTTGACATAATCAATGGAATAATGGAGAGAATATGAATCAAAAAGCATATTTCCTGATTTTAGAATGAGAACCGAAAAATTTCTGTTTGGTCCCACCAGGGAAAGCTGTTTTTCAAGAAGCAAGGTGGGTGGGGTACAACCTGAGAAAAGCATGGGTACAGTGTGGTTGTACCCACACTAATTGTCTGCATTGTCAGTATAACACATGCAAAGTAATGCATAAGCAGTTCCAAACCAATTAACATGTCGCCTGTGGAGAAATTTCATTGACTAGTGGCAGATGGCAAATTAGGCCACATTTCCATGTGTATGATGAACAAGGTAATCCAACATACCATGAACTGGAGAATGAAGAAACAAAGAATGAGTCTCATTTTGGTAGGGATTGGACCAAGCATCCTTCCAATGTAACTTCTGCTCAAAAGCCTCTGTCCTTGTTTGTAGGATGATCCCAAAGAGCAGTGCATTCTAGCATGCTACAAGTCACCTTACAAGTAAAATACTTGTAGTCTTTCCTCATCATAAAAAGCAAAACTACAGACTCGGGATGGTGGTGTTGACCTACACTGCTTAACTGCAAATGTATGAGTTTTCCTCCAACTACTCTACCCTTTAGGCAGGAGAAAGGATTACTGGCACCAAATCTCATGCTGGACTAAGCTGCTGGCCATTAAAATTTTGCATCATTGAATACATGACTCAAATGTTAATTTTGCTCACATATGTAGCCTATGTTTAAGTATGTGTCTAATGAAAAATTTTATCCTAGCTTTTGGTATAAAAGCAAGAAACAAATGAATTGTCCTCAGCTAAGCCATACAGACCACTCTGAGCAGTGCTGTGTGGTGATTCTCCCTCTCCTTTTCTTGTTCAGAGCCGAACAACATTTTCAGTGTTACCGCAACAATCAAAACAGCAGCTGTTGTTGGAGATGTGAGTGCTGGAAATGAGAAGCATAGCATCCCAATTATTGATGGGAGGTGGAACATCTGTGCTAGAGAGGGAGTGAAATTAATTCCAGAACTCCACAGTGGAATATATTAATTGACATGAATTAAGTGTAAGTGATGAGGTGCTTCCTGTACAACTGGGTAAATAAAGATTCCTCATGGAGTGAATACCGAGAGAGTAACTGCTTCTCTGAGGAACCCCTTCAAGAAGAAATAATTATTGTGTAAAGAGCTATGAAAATGTCCACAATATTTATACATCTTTCCCTACTTTCCTCTTACTCATCAGCACCCTGCAATCTTCAGCCTATCTCAGCTCTCTTCTTCTAAATCAACAGAGACAGCATTTGCAAATGGGAAAAGTGCTTCATTTTTGTTTTGTTTGCTTGCATTCAAAACTACTATTATCCCCCCCAAGCACTAAAGGCAGATAAACCTGAGCAGCATCCCCCTAAGTCAGAAGCAATTTGACAATCCATAATAGCACCACCACCACCACCACCACAGGGAAGCTTTCCATGTATGGACCTGACAATTTTTTCTCTCCTTTCTGTGGGACAGTTACTCCTCTGGAACTGTTTACAAGCCAAAATGGTTTCTTGCTTTTCATGCACCACCATCCCTTACAGAGGTAAAAATCTGTTAGTATTAACTCTCTCAGAGACTTCTACCCATGATTTGGAGCAGAGGCATCCTCCTGGAAATGGCTATGAGGAACAGGCTGTTTGAGCTGTTAATATCTTTATTTTCTAAATTAGAAAGGTGCAGCTAGAGATGAGTATGAACTAGTGATGGGGACAAATCAATTGATCCATTATTCATCAAGGTTAATGGATCAACAAATACAAATATATGAATATTTTTCGACGTACTGATGGATCAATTGGTTGATTCGTCTGCATTTTAACTACTATCACACTGCCCCTCGACAACCTAGAGACACCAATTTTGCAGGGAAGCTTCCTCAGATGCTTTCCTACAAATCCTGAAAGA